ACTCTTGTGGGACACTCTTGTAGGACACTCTTGTGGGACACTCTTGTAGGGCACTCTTGTGGGACACTCTTGTGGGACACTCTTATAGGACACTCTTGTGGGACACTCTTAACTCTTGTGAGACACTCTTGTGGGACATGGTTGCGGGACACTCTTGTGGGACACTCTTGTGAGACACTCTTACGGGACACTCTTGTAGGACACTCTTGTGGGACACTCTTACGGGACACTCTTGTTGCACACTCTTGTAGGACACTCTTGTGGGTCACTCTTATGGGACACTCTTGTCGGACACTCTTGTGGGACACACGTGTGGGACACTCTTGTGGGACACTCATACGGGACACTCTTGTGGGACACTCTTGTGGGACACTCTTGTAGGAGACTCTTGTGGGACACTCTTGTGGGACACTCTTGTGGGACACTCTTGTAGGAAACTCTTGTGGGATACTCTTGTAGGACACTCTTGTGGGACACTCCACTCTTGTGGGACACTCCTGTAGGCACACTCTTCGTACGAGACTTCCTCCAAAAGTCACGCTGCGAGACTGCAAGACGAGCGTTTCGTACGAGACTTCCTCCAAAAGTCACGCGTCAAGTCTCAAAAACGAGCGTTTCGTACGAGACTTCCTCCAAAAGTCACACGTCAAGTCTCCAAGACAAGCGTTTCGTACGAGACTTCCTCCAAAAGTCACATGTCAAGTCCCCAAAACGAGCGTTTCGTACGAGACTTCCTCAAAAACTCACATATCAAAGTCTGCAAAACGAACGTTTCGCACGAGACTTCCTCCAAAAGTCCAGCGGAAACATCCATCGGAGCACACACATCACGCAGCCCTGCCAAGCAGTTTCGCGAGCCCAGCCCCTCCAAGCGACACCCGCTCAAACGCCAATCCCAATGTGACAGCGACATTCACCTCTACCACAACTCACAACCTCCCGATTCCCTGCGCCTGCCACGAATCTTTCCGCGTCCACACGTCTAACGCGCACAAAGTACTGCGCCTGCCACGAAATGTCACCTCCGTCACACATCGCAACCTCACGATTCCCTGCGCCTGCCACGAAAATCCCACTTGCACACCTCAAAACCCGCACAAAGTCCTGCGCCTGCCACGAAAAGTAACGATGTCATCTCATGTGAGCTTCAACAAAATTTGCACCACACCACACGTTTGGAATGATTTCGACCCGTTCTGAGCACACTCCCATCCACCAAAATCGGCATTTCAGCTGAGACTTGTCACGAAAACAGAGCTTCGATGCCACACCCTGAAACGCAAATCCCAATGGCACGGCCACATCCAACACCCCAAAAACACGACTCTCCAAACGCTAATCCCAATGGAACTGCGCAGCAATCTGCAGATCTCACCAAACGCTGCGCCTGTGCAGCGAAACGCATCACGTTGCTTGCGCGACATGTCTTTTTCATGCAAATCACAATGGAATAGCGGCGCAAACTGACACGTGACACATCCATGAAAAGTCACTTGCAAAAGCTTCCCCCAATGGCAGCGCCTTAGCGACCTACTGCGAACGGTTGCGGACGGTTGCGGATGGTTGCGGACGGTTGCGGACGGTTGCGGACGGTTGCGAACATAGAAGCAACGGATCGCGAACAAGACTCTACCCCCAGACCCCCAGAGTTAAACGAGAACCCTTCGCTACGCATTCGGGAAAAATCTTTTTAAAAAGTAAACCCTAAATTAAATGGCCCTCCTCGGGAAATGCCCAAAAAAACTGTGCAAAACAGCCGTAAATCCACTCGGCTGGGCTGCCTGAAGCGTTTGATGGTGTGGCAAGCAATGGATAGTCTTCCCCTGAGATAGAATATAGGATCTTAGATGGTCTTGGCATTCTTGTGTGAATTCAAGTTCATTCGCTGGGCTGCATGCGATGCCGTTCCCAGATCTGCAAAGGACCTCCAGAATCTCAAGCAAGTTTTTTCTAAAAAATACATTTAAGAAAGTACTGAAGCACAGCACGATGAAGTTAACTACATCTGTCAAGAACCCCTCACAAGATTCAGAAACGATACAAATCCAAATCTTCAAACCAACATTCCAAAGCGGGCTTGGAGCTTTATGGCCTTTAGGGAGCCTAGATTCCAAACTTGTATTTGGAAGCTGTGCCCCAGGGCAGCCCTGAAACAGGACGCTCATAAGCCCATCCCTCAATCCGAATTAATCTAGTCTATGCATGATTAAAAAATAAAAATTGTGCAACTCCACATTGTACAGAACAACAAAGCTCTTAGGATCAAGCCAACGGAGGTTGTGCTCTGCTCTTGGCATGGCCTATCACCAATAGCTGCAAGACAGCCTCTTATGTTTGACTCAGCATTCAAAGACCAAAGCCCCTATTTAAAAAGCAAATTGGGCAACACCCCAATGAACCTTCGCTGTCGTGATTCCTGCTTGCGCAATCTTAAATACTTGAGAGCGAATCAGCGAATCCGACCGGTTTTTAAGGCACATACTGTATGACACTTGATCGTAGAGCCAAAGAATCGGGATACCCTCAATCTTTCCCTTTCCCAATGTTTCCAGTGTGGCACACCAGCCTCACTTGTGAAGGAAGGCTCCTTGCATTCCTCGCCAAAAAAAGACCAAAGCACTCAAAAAGGCGCATCAACCACAAGCTCTTACAGAGTTACATACACGGTGACGATCCCTGATACCAAAGAATGCCAATGAGGTCCATCTGTGCTTCATAGTCTGCTTGCCTATGATACTGTATCAGCTTCATGCAGGCTGGAAGGTTTCTGACAGGGAGCCAGTTTACAATTTTCTGACAGGTTGCTTCAGTACCAGAAAGGATGAGGAAGGAAGCAAGAGTCTAGGGGAAGTTCCAAAGTTTTGTGAACGGCCACAGTGGCTGAGAACTGAGAAAACAATGCATTGTGGCATATGTACTGAAGCGACAAACCCCTAGCCTTAGCCATGGTAAGTTTCTCAAAGAATATCTGGTTCATCCACTGCCAGTAAATCATAAAGCCGATTACAGTATTGTCAATGAAAGGGATTAAACTTCAAACTTCTTCAAAATCACGCTGTCGGCAAAACTAAGTCCTTGCATCAGCAGCTTCGTATGCCTTGAAGTGTGACTGGTTTGAAGTTGTACCTAGAAGCGCTTTGGGTCAAGTGGAGCAAATCGAGTGGGCCAAATTCGTTCAAGTAGTGTGTTTACAAAAAATGTTAACACGTTTAAGAAACGGTCCATCAAACAAATCACTGCTTGAGTGTGCTGTAGATAACTCCATCTGTTCCTGCTGCATCAAAACCACGCTCAACTCGTTCTCCTTTTGTGCATTGCAAGTCTTCGCTGTTCGTGGCAGGGGCATGATGTGCCCAAGCGGGAATTGCTCGCCAACCTCAACACGAAACCATTTCTGACCTCTTGAACCTCAGTGTCCAGCCGTGCTGAACGCAAAAAATCCGCGTTTGCTGCATCTTTTGCAGCAAGAAGGACATTGGATTTGCACCTCAAACAGCCAGAGCTTCTTGTGCTTCAGTGTGTTCCCACGGCTGAGTTGTAAGGCTATATTGCCGGGAACGAAAAGGTCCATACTGGACGAGCCAAGCATGACCGTTGCGGTTGTCCGTAGCTCAGCATCTCTAACTTTAACGTGAGGTCAACACGTGTCAACGCTAGATTCATCCCACTGCATCACCTGGACCACATATACAGCAGCAGAAAACCCCTGTTTGCATCTTCGGGTCAGACCCGCTCACTTAGCTTTCTGGCAGGTTGGCCTCTGACCTCCAAGCTATCAGCTATCAATCTCCTTTACCTCTGCCTTGTTGGTTCGAGCACCAAGAAAAAGCTAAACTGCAAAAAAGAATGCAAAAATGCTAATCGCAACACGCATTGATGCGCGTGGCTTTGTAGGAATCCTGACAGCTGTACGCATCGAAGCCCCTGGCTGAACGGCGGCCATACCGGGTGAAAGAGTGTCCCAGGCACTTTCTCAACACTACACGCAAATGCGAAGAAATAGGTCTGAAACACATAATATATATATATATTATATATATATATATCATTTTTTTTGAAGTATCTTTTTGTCTAGTGGCTAGTGGCCCTAGTGGCTAGTAGTTATAGAGGTAGCTAGTACCTACAAGTGCTACATATGGATGCAGGATAGCTCACGCTTCTAATAATTTTGTTCCTAGATGCTTAGGGAAACTTAACATTTAGTAGTGCATGGGGGCAGTGCCTCAGCCACTCACGACTTGGCTACGCGGTATCTGCCCCTTCTGAGCGATCATCAGTACAAGCCACAGGCAATTGTATGCTCCTGCTGTACTAGTGATTTTCATTGATGTCATGTCCCTTTTGTCAAGCAAGGACCTCCGTCGGAAAGCTTTGTAAGGAAAAGGCAACCTCAATGACTGCAATCTGAAGATCAGTGTCAGATTTCTTTGGAGCAACTAGGCCGCTAGCGCTTGGACATTGATCCAAGAGCTTGGCTGGATTCTGATGCTGTAACTCTGGAAACACTGTAGATACTGCATTGTCATTCTCAAAAACAGGTTGCAAATATGTTCTTCTTGAATCCAGCATCTAAGCCTTGTAGTCTACCGGATTTCCTCGTTGGATGTCAAGCTATTGAAAAAGGACCATGCAAGCACCAAATGATACCTAGACCAATCCTTCCATAAAGCAAAACAACAGTTTCCGCGAGTGTGAGAATTGTCCCAGATCTTTCAGGCGTCAAGGATCGGAAAAAAATGCGATGGAGAGGCCATGCAAACCTGTCCCAGGTCTGTACACTCAAGAGCAAACCGTTTCCATGCTTGTTTGACCTCAAAAGCCGTCTGGACAGTCACCCAAGCACTGGATAGTCAATGAACCCATGAGAATGAGAAGTACAAAAGAGCAAAACCGACATTTAAGAGCTCCGACAAAGCGGGACCAAGCACTCAGAAAGCACTAATATACCTCAAGTGCTTCTCAGCATACTTCGGTATCAGGCCTTCCGAGGCACAACATACCCCGTGCACCTAGGTGCAAGCAGGCGGTACAAAGCACTAGCTTTCGGCTTCATGGTCGATCTGGCAAAGTGTCCTGCGTATCAAAAATGGTTCAGAAAACCACGTGTCTCTGTGCAAGGCTGGCTTCTCTGATGCATACTTCTTTTGAAGAAATCGTTCCTCTTCGTTTCTCGGATGCCAGCGTGCGCCATCAAAAGGTTTCACGGCCTCTATGACCTTGGCGGACAAAACGCTAAAGGAGGACAAGTCTAGTGGCAGGACGAAGAGACTTCTTAGCAAATTGTTTTAAAACGGTTTTTGTCCAGAAAGTTTGGCCAATAAAGAGAGGAAAAGGTAGCTAGTAGCTTAAGTTGTCTGCTAGACATGGACGCAGGACAGTTCACGTTTCTTCAAGGAAGTTTCCCTTGCCTGAGGGCAGGGGAAGCTTCCTCGAAGAAGCGTTCGCACTGATGATTTGGTTCCGCAATTTTAGGGAAACTTAACTTAACAATGCAGTGAACAGCCAGCCCTGACAAGTTTAGCAAGCATTGCTGAGGAGCTGGCCACATGGCCCGGACCAGACAGCGCTCTACCCTTTCTGGCGGATCATCGCCATCCCAGAACCTTGACATGATATCCAAAAGTTCCAAACAGTTCAATATGAGCAAAATGATTGTTATGCCAACGCTTCAATGCAGCATGCACAAACAGCTGTGTGTTCTTTCCTGAGTGCCA